CGCGCGGTGGGTCGCGCGGTGGGTCGCGCGGTGGGTCGCGGGGTGGGTCGCGGGTGGGTCGCGGGTGGGTCGCGGGTGGGTCGCGGGGTGGGTCGCGGGGTGGGTCGCGGGTGGGTCGCTGGGCGGGTTGCGGGTGGGACGACGACAACAAACAACAATAACAAACAACAACAAACAACGACAACAACAACAACAACAACAACACGAATCCGCACCGCGGACTTCTGCTTCAGCCACGCACCCAGGGACAGTGAATGACCGTTCGGCCCCCTCACTCTGATATTGGTTTGGAGTAGACGAGAGTAGAGAAGAGTAGAGTAATTAGAGTAGGGTAGGGAATAGTAGAGTCAAGTAGGGTGACTTAGGACATGGTAGGGTAGGGTAGAGCAGAGCAGAGTAGAGTAGGATAGCTGGAAGAGTAGTGCCAGGTATATTCGAGCAGAGTAGAGGAGAGAATATACGAGTATACCATAATAGAGTAGAATAGAGTCGAGTAGAGTGGAGTAGTGCAGAGTTGAGTAGAGTAGAGTAGAGTGAAGTAGAGGAGAACGTATTGGAGTATGAGTACAGTAGAGTAGAGTAGAGTAGAGCGGAGCAGAACAGAACAGAGCAGAGTAGAGTAGAGTAGACCAGGCTAGGCTGGGGTAGGGTAGAGTAGCGTAGGGTAGAGTAGAGCAGGCAGAGTTGAGAATATGAGGGTCGAGTAGAGTGTAGTAGAGAAGTAATAGAGTAGGGTATGGTATAATAGGAGTAGTGCCGACTAAGGTAGAGTAGGGCAGGGTAGGGTAGGGCAAAGTAGAGCAGAGCATAATAGGGTAGAGTAGATCAGAGTAGAGTCGGGTAGATGGTGGAGTCGAGTCGAGTAGAGCAGAGAGGAGTAGAGATCGGAGTAGAGTAGAGTAGGGTAGAGAGGAGTAGAGTAGAGTAGGGTAGAGTGAGAAGAGTGCAGTAGAGTAGAGCAGACCAGTTCAGTCCAGATCAGTCTAGTCCAGTCTCTCCAGCCCAGTCTAGCCCACGCCAGTCTTCTCCAGTCCAGTCTACCTCAGTTCACTCCAGTCCGCTTTATTTCAGTCTTCTGATCTATTTTGAGTCTCCGCTTGTGGATATGTTGTTGTCGCCATTATCAAGCGTTCCCCATGCCTTCCCTTTTTGTCGCGGCCTCTCCGCGCATGCATGCCCACATTCACATAGCAAACAAATCATACACATACGGCACTCCTCTTCATCGCGGCCTCTCCGCACACACACAGACTCACAACATACTCCGGAGCAAGAGTGAGGCACGAGTGACAGCCTCATAGCATAACACACGCACGCACAAACAAAGACGCGCACACACACAAACGCATCCGCACACGCACACGGACACACGCGCACACGCACACGCACACGCACACGCACGCGCCGCACACGCGCACGCACAGCATACACACACACACTCACACGATGTTATAATTTGCATAGTGGAAGCGGGATCTAAACTCCTAGGGATGATCGTTCCATTACCTCCCATCAGTGAATGCCTGCCCCCACCCTGATCAGGCCCAAGCCAGGCGACTCGTAATCCCCAAGCAAGCTTGAGAGTACTGACCCACCTCCCACCCTGCCGAAGGCGGGCATGCCACAAAGCAAGCTTGACTCTCCCCGCCCGACACCTTCAGACTTCAAGATCAGATCCCTCCAAGATAGCTCGGTCCAGACCCCCAAACATTGTACCCCCATTCATTTTGACGAGTCGTGCAGTATGCACGTGCACGGTTACGTGCCAGCCAGCCTTGCACTCGAATCCACTTTCGCCGCCTTCGACAGTGCAGTTGTGGGTGGCGCTGTCGGCCAGCGGCTCCCCGACCCGCGCGGCGCGCTCTGGTCGTGCGGGGGCCCGCTTATGTTGCTCGTGGTTATGGGGCGAATCGGTTTATCCTTCACGTGGTGCGCACATGAGCATCGTGTAGAAAATACTGCAAGATTCGTCGCCGGAGCGTCGGTGTGGCGCCGGAGGACGGCTCTCCCATACACTATTCGCAGCAGCTCCGATGACGCGCAGCGCGTTTCTAAGGGAACACTGCGATGGGGCAACAAGGCACGCCAGCCTCATCCGCGGCAGGTGCTCTACACAGTTCCCTGCGGAGCCCGTCGGCTGGCAGGTGCCCCCAGGGGTGTCGGGCAGACGGCTCCCCTCGTTGAGAGGCCGGCCGGAGAGGCGCGCGCCGACCCGCAGCCGCCAGAGCACCTGCTCGCCAGACGGCCTGGCATGCGTGCCCCGGGAGCCTCCGCGCGGCGCCCGCCGGGGCCGCGCGGCGTGCCGAAGCCTTCTCTGCGATGCCCCTGCAGGTCCCGACCAGTCTCCCCCTCCCCACTGTGGGGGGCGCCAGCCGGCGCGCAGGAGCGGGGGGGTGCGGGCGGCGAGGTCTGTGCACATCCCCTGCCGCAGGCTGGGCCCATCCTGGGCCCAGGATCGGTACATACGCCTCCTTGGCCAAGCCATGGGGGCGTATGCGACGCTCCAGGGGCGGTGGGTACGGCCTAGCCACGGGCGGTGGATGTATAGATCTGGTCGCCCCAGGGTGGAGGGTGGGGTGGCTTTCTGGGCGTGCAGGGGGGCTCCTCGGGAGCCCCGCCGCCTCCTGAGGAGCCCTCGCAGAAGCCCCCGAGCCCTTCCGAGAAGAAGCCTCTGGCCTGCTTGGGCGGCGCCCCCCCCACCCCGTCCCCCGCCCCGTCCCCCCCCCTCGTGTGCTGCGAAGGTCAGAGGACCTCGTCCCCGCATTGCTTTCGGGCTTCCGAGCAGGGCGCGGTGCTCCGCTGGCCGCAGTGGCAGAGCACCTTGCCGCGGGCGCTCCAGGGCGTGGCCGCGCCCCAGATGTTTGTGCCAGAGCCAGTCTGCGAGGCTCTGCTGCCGTTGCCGCGCTTGCTGCCGCCGCCGTGACGCCGCTCCTCGCCCTGGCGAGCGAGAGGGGGATCGAGGGAGGCAGGGACAAATAATGATGATGAGGCGGCGAGAGGGAAGATGAGAAGGATGAGGATTGGGCTGCTGATGTTGATGTTGATGGTGACGTTGATTAAGGTGGTGGTGGAGATGCTGCTGCTGAGGCTGGTGATGATGGTGATGATGATGATGATGATGATGCTGATGATAATGATGTTGATTATGATGGTGACGATGAAGATGGTGGTGGTGGTGACGATGGTGATGCTGATTATTGTGCAGATGATGATGCTGGATGATTGCGATGATGATGATTAGTGTGCAGATGATGGTGATGCTGATGACGATGACGATAAAGATGGCGAAGGTGATGAAGAGGACGATTACGATGACGATGACGATGATGATGATGATGACGATGGTGATGATGGTGATGATGATGACGATGATGATGATGATGGTGGTGGTGGTGGTGGTAGTGGTGATGATGGTGGTGGTGATGATGATGGTGGTGGTCATGATGATGCTGATAAAGGCGATAACGATGGTAACGACGATGATGCCGATGATGTCTTTACTGCTGCTGCTGCTGTTGATGATGATGATGCCGATGTCGGGGCCGCTACTCGTGATGTTTCTGCTGACGCTGATGATGATGACGATGATGATGATGCTGATGATGATGAGGATGATGATGAGGATCCTGACGATGATGATGATGATAATGTTGATAATGATGGCGATGGTGGTGGTGATCATGGTGGTCATGATGATGTTGTCGACGATGACGATGATGATGGTGAAGATGATCATGATGTTGTAGTTGATGGTGATGATGCTGACGACGACGATGATGATGATGAGGATCATGATGCTGCTGATGATGACCATGATGACGAGGACATTGATGATGGTGATGACGATGCGGATGCTGATGCTGATGCTGATGCTGAAGATGCCTCGGAATGATGATGGTGGTCGTGGTGGTGGTGGCGATGATGATGTTGACGATGGTGATGCTGATGATGTTGATGCTGCTGATAAGCCTCGTGATGATCGGCATGATGGTGATGCTGATGATGGTGGTGATGATGCTGACGATGATGCGCATGACGATGATGACGACGATGATGATGGTGGTGGTGGTGATGGTAAGACGATTCTGATTATGCTGCTGATACTGATGTCGATGATGATGCTGATGATAATGATGCTGCTGATGTTGATGATGCTGAACGGGATGAACCTGATATTAATGATGATGGCAATGGTGGTTGTGATGGTGATGATGATAGTTATGCTGGTGAGGCTGGCGATGGGTGAGGAGGGAGGAGGAGGCGGAGGAGGAGGAGGTGGAGGTTCGATGATGGTCATAGTGTAGGTGATGGTAATACTCAGGGTGATGGGGCCGAACTGTCATTTATTGTTCCTGGGTGCGTGGCTGACGTGGAGATTTGCGGCGCATATTCTGCGTGGTTGTTTGTTGTCGCCGTCCCTCCCGCGGCACACCCCGCGACCCGCCCCGCGACCCACTCCTCGACTCACCCCGTCAACCCATCCGCGAACTTTTCCGCGATCCACCCGATACCCACGCCGCGCCCGTCTTGTTACTCATACCAGCAATAGCGGGGTGCTACGTAGTGATGAAGATGATGTTGATGTTGAGAATGCTGACGTTATTGTTCGTGATCATGGTGATGATGGTGGTGGTGATGGCGAGGAAGAGTAGGAGGAGGAGGAGGAGGACTTGGAGGAGGAGGGAATGATCATGCTGTTGTCGTTGATGATGATGGTGACGACGATGACGGTGGTGTGGTGATGATGGTTGTGATGAGGTGAATGACGATGACGATGACGATGACGATGCTGATGCTGATGATGATGATGATGATGATGATGATGATGATGATGATGATGATGATGATTGTGGTGCTGATCATGATGCTGCTGATGCTGATGATGGTGAAGGCGATGGTAAGCACGCTGATGTTGATGATGATGCTGATGATGACGATGTTGATGGTGGTGATGATGAGAATGATGATGTCGCTGATGTTATTGATGATACTGACGATGATGATGCTGATGCTGATGATGCTGATGATGATGATGATGATGGTGATGATGATGCCGACGACGACGACGACGACGACGACGATGATGATGATGATGATGATGATGATGATGATGATGATGATGATGATGAGGCGGAGGAGGATGAGGGTAATGATGATGACCAGGATCAGGATCAGGATGATGATGGCGATGATGATGACGATGACGATGACGATGCTGCTGATGATGATGATGATGATGATGATGCTGACTATTCTGATAACGTCGCTGTTGACGATGGTGATGATGATGATGATGATGATGATGATGATGGTGGTGGTGATGATGATGATGACGATGTTGCTGATGATGATGACGATGATGATGATGATGATGATGATGATGATGATGATGATGGTGATGGGGATGGTTATGATGGCGATGCTAATGACGATGATGATGATGATGCTGATGCTGATGATGATGGTGGTGGTGATGCTGATGATGATGGTGGTGGTGATGATGAGGAGGAGGATGGTACCAACAAGAACAATGTTACTAAGATCAGAGGAGACACGAGAAATGGTGATGATGAGGAGGAGGAGGAGGAAGGCGGAGGAGGAGAAGGAGGAGGAGGAGGAGGAGGAGGGTGACGTAGATTCTTCACATTTGCGCCGCCTAGTCTGCACTAAGGTGATGAGTTTCATAGTGTTCGTGCGTTATGTTTGTACATTTGATCGCTGTGGGAAAACCCAACGGCCATCCAGCCGATGTCTGTGCAACGGAAAAGGTGAAGGAAGAGGAGGGGGAGGAGGAAAGGAGGAGGAGGAGGAGGACAAGGGTGGGGACCCGAGGACTGCCAAGAGTAGGGACTCGCCCACCCCCGGGGCTCGCTGGCCTGAAGGTGCGCGGCGCCTACGGCGCGCGCTCGCGCGCGGTCAGCTGCGACGACGCGGGCCGGGCGTCGCGCGCCGCCTCCTGGGGCAGGTCAGCATCGTCTAATCTTTCCCCATCCCCGCTGGGCCATGGTATCTCAGCAACGCCAGCCCACCCTCCTCGGAAGGGGTTGTTCCCGCGTAGCCCGACTGCACAGGCATATATGATCCAGGGTTACCCCCCCCCCATGCTAATGGGATCAGGCTCCCCCCCCCGCTGCATGGGTACGCCCGTGAGCCTCGCAAGGGCCTGAATGGGATCGCTCCCCTTCCCTCCCCCCCATGGTCGTGGCCCTGTGGGCGTGGGCGTGGTGGAGGGTGGACGGTCCGCTTCTTTCGCCAAGAGCTTTCCGAGACTAAGTTCGCAGGGCCTCGCTGATGGGATCGCCCCGCCCCCCCGCCCCCCTGTAGTCGTGGCCCTGTGGGCGTGGGAGGGTGGTGGGTGCTAGTGCCTTCCCCTCCCCCTGTGGGCGTGGGGTGTGGGATGGTTCGTGGTCGTCGTTGTCTTCTCGGGGTGGGCGTTGGCATCGTCGTCTTCCGTCGGCGTCGTTGTCGTCGTCCTCTTCGTTTTCCGTCGCCGGCGCCGCCGCCGCCGCCGTCGTCGTCATCATCGTCGTCGTCGTCCCCTCCCCATCCCATTTGGGTATGGGGGGGCCTGTGAGACCCTGGGACCCGTGTGGCCAGGGCCACGTCAGTGGGGAGACTTTGGATTGGACTATAATCGCTCCCCCTTGGATCCGCGGGGGGGGGGAGGGATGAGGAGGTGGAGGAGGAGGAGGAGGAGGAGGAGGAGGAGGAGGGGGAGGAGGACAAGCTAGGCGCGCTCGCGCCATATTTGACGTCCTACCCCTCCCTCCCATCCCTTCCCATGGCGCAGATCTCCTCTCTATTCGCACAGTCGGATGTCGTAGCAAGGGCATAGCATTACATGGCATAGCATGGTGTTGAAGATCAACGCGTAGCCTGACATAGCATGGCGTGGCGACGCCTCAAAGTGGGGGGTGGCTTCTGCGGCCCCAGAAATCAACGAATCGACACCGAATTTGTTAGCACTTCCAATGGTTGCTTCGGGGGGGCATTTTCTAGATTTGGGGGCCTATTTGAAAGGACCGAAAACCATGCCGTGGCATAGCGCTGGACATAATGATGCCAGCGCTGCAGAGGGAGCACGATTCGGAACAAGCGGAAGCGCGGAAATGAGGCCAGCGCTACAGCGGGAACACGATTCGGAACGAGCTGTAGCCGAAATTGAGGCCAGCGCTTCAGCGAGAGCCGCATTTTGAAACAACAAAACAAGAGAAAACCCCTTTCCCGGGGATCCTGTGTGTAAAAAACAAGTTCGCCAAGGGGGAGCGAATATTTCCCAGACGTCACCAGGAGAGAGAAGAGAGTAGCATTCAGATTGTGCAACTGTGGTGGTGGAGGAGGAGAAGGAGGATCGAGGAGGAGGAGCGAGGGGGGCATGGGCAAGCTCCATCATCCTTGCGAAGGGCCCCATCCAAGGGAGGGAGGAGGGAGGAGGGAGGAGGCAGGGGGCAGGAGGCAGGAGGCAGGAGGCAGGAGGCAGGAGGCAGGAGGCAGGAGGCAGGAGGCAGGAGGCAGGAGGCAGGAGGCAGGAGGCACGAGGCACGAGGCACGAGGCACGAGGCACGAGGCACTAGGCACGAGGCACGAGCACGAGCACGAGCATGAGCAAGAGCACGAGCACGAGCACGAGCACGAGCAAGAGCACGAGCACGAGCACGAGTAGGAGCAGGAGCAGGAGCAGGAGCAGGAGGAGTGTGAGTGAGTGAGTGAGAACAGTCGCGAAGCGAAGATCGAAACAGACGCCCCCCCCTGGACTTGTCGAAGAGCACGACGGACAGGAAGAGGACGCACTTCTTCTGAAAAGCTGGCAGAGAAGCCCGTGGAACCATAAGCCCGCGGATGGGTTCCTCCCAAACATAGAATGTCAGTTCACCCCTTCAACACCAGACAAATACAGAGGAAGTTGAAAGAATGCCAAAAGCCACCTTGATACAAATAAGCTGAACCGGAGCAAACTCGATACGGCCCACTACAGTAAACTGGTCATCGGGCAACCCTGACGGATCGTTCACACCGAAAACAGCCTCATTGCATTCAAGGAAAAAGCCTCCAGCCCTTGCAATAATTGACCACCATTCGCAGCACCGCGTGAAAAAAAGATAACAGTAAGAGGCCCAGTCCCAGCAACGCTGAACAAATAGGCCGCCGCCCGTACCCTCCCCACGCGGCATTGGGAGATAGCAGCATTGTAGATGATGGGAACTGAGCGCCATTGCAACCAGCAAACGCCCGAGGCCAGCGAAAGAGAATACCCCCTCCGTGCGGCTCTGAGGGATGGCTGAAATGTAAATGACGAAACCAGTGCCCGCCCAGCCTGTGGGAGCTTGAAAAACACGTGCGGGACAAGGAAGAACGGGAGAACGGCCAGACGGAAAGTAGACGCGACCCGATCTGAGCCCCTCAAGTGCGTCGCTCCCGTGAACAGCATGGGCGCCAAAAACAAATTTACCGAGCCTGACATCAAGGACGAGACATCATATGTGAGCACCTTCTGTTTTAGTCGTCACCAGCGGCTCTCCTGGAGAGCGTGGGTGAAGTGCCCCAAGCACCGCGCGCAGGCACAGAAGGCGGGCTCTTGCCAAAATGGTCTGAGCCCAAGTTGCTTGAGGCAGGAGCAGGAGGAGGAGGAGGAGGAGGAGGAGGAGGAGGAGCAGGAGCAGGAGCAGGAGCAGGAGCAGGAGCAGGAGCAGGAGCAGGAGCAGGGATCCTTTAGACACGGTGCTCCAGCAGGGCTGGCGCAGGCGGCGGCGGCGTACTGCTGGCGCCCGGCGGCGCCAGCGCGGAGGCCGCCCCCGCGGGCTGCAGCGCGAGCACCGCGGCGGGCGCGGACGCGGCGCCGGCGGCCCTGCCGGCGGTGTGCCGCGTGCACCGCGGCGGGTCGTTCCAGGCGCCCGCTGGGGCGGCGGTGGTGCCCAGGGGATGAGACGACCCAGACCCCTCCTCATTGCAAAAATAATCTCGACGGGAGGTTTTTCGCCATTTTCGGTCTCCAGGGGTGCTCACTGGGCCTCGGGACCGTCAACAAAACGACTCAGGACGAGAAACCAGTCCAAGGGAAGGGGTCAAGACCTCTGCGGGGTCGTCTTTGTGAAACAAATCACGACGTCGGGAGTCTGGGGAGGTACCGACATACCGCTGCCTTCGGGGGCGGCCAAGAGGGGGGATGGATATGTCATGGCGGGGGCCATGAGATCTCCCCAGACTTCACGGCGCTTGTTCATTCTGGGCCGCGCACGCGCCGCTGGCCATGATTTGCGCCCCCCCTGTTTGACGCCCCCTTCTTGGTCACTCCCGATGTCCTTCTCTGGGCCTCATCCTGAGAGGCCCTCGTCGCCGCGGCCGGATTCGCGTCGAGATGGGGCCAGAATCGCCGCAGCTGGAGATCTAGGCCTCCCAGATGCGGTCCTAGTAGATGGAGTCGGTGGATTGCGCCGCATCGCCGATGCGTCGGCGATGCGGCGCGATGAGGAGACCGATTTTCTCCACGCCGACGTCGCCGGTGCATCGCCGACGCTGCCGGTGCATCGCCGATGCATCGGCGATGCGGCGCGATCCTCCGACCCCATCTACTCGGACCTCATCTAGGAGGCCTCTAGGGAGGAGAAGAGGTACCCACATACCGCTGCCTTTCTCTGGGCCTCATCCTGGGAGGCCCTCGTCGCCGCGGCCGGATTCGCGTCGAGATGGGGCCAGATTCGCCGCAGCTGGAGATCTAGGCCTCTCGGATGGGGTCCTAGTAGATGGAGTCGGTGGATTGCGCCGCATCGCCGATGCGTCGGCGATGCGGCTCGATGTGGAGCCTGATTTTCTCCACGCCGGCGTCGTCGCCGATGCATCGGCGATGCAGCGCGATTCTCCGACCCCATCTACTCGGACCTCATCTAGGAGGCCTCGAGAACCAATACTGCTCCTCTTGCCTCGGCTTGGTCGTTTTGGCCCTCCTGTGAGGCCCTCGTCACTGCGGCTGGATTCTCTTCGAGAGTCTGGTCAGAGCGCGCCC